CAGAATAAAAAAAACAGAAAGCTGTTTTGCACCTGACTTGAGAGAACAAACTATTAACCCTAAAAATGTATGAAGTTTTATACATCCTTTCTGGAAAGTCTCTCAAAAATATATGAGCCCATTTTCTTGGGCTAGCAAACCTAAAAACTGACCGTTTTTGAAATTAACAGGTAACTGCTATTCATGGACTAGCAGAGTGAAAGGGAAGGAAGAATCCTCAAATAGGCTAATGCAGCCCCAAGGCAGGTCTTCGGTGGCATGCTGCTGTTATTTCCCACGGGGTCTCAGGACTGAACCACTGTGAAACCTGACCCAGCTGAGTCACAAGATTCTCCCAAAAGTATTTAATGTGGACAGCAAGACAAGAATGAAATCATGCAGCCTGGTACCATCATGGCTGTGCTCTGGTCTAGAATAAAAGATGGATGTGCTTCTGCCATGGAGTGCATAAGAGCTGTCCTAGGTCCTGTCCTCCACAAGCACTTTTCAAAAGCAATGCCAGTGTATTCTCAATAAACCTTGTGTTTGTTCATCTGTCTCCCTGTTCTTTACTTAAGCAGAATAAGTCTGCATGAAATACAAAGAACTTTTAATACTACAGAAGGCTACAAAGAAAAGGAATACCTACTAAACACTGAACAGTTCCTAGTACTTTCCACAATACCAGGCAAATCACCCTCTGCATTTTCAGAACCTCTGCTTCCTTTCCTTCCTTCCTTCCTTCCTTTCCCCATCTTTTCTTCCTTCTTTTCTTTGGTTTAAAGACAGAATTGACACTAACATTGTGCTAGCTGAAGGTGTATGTGATGACTTAATATATATTTATATTGTGAAATGACATCACAATAAGGTTAGTTAACACATCCATTACCTCACATAGTTACCTTTTTTTTGTAGGGTTGTGAGAAATTTTAATATCTATTCTCTTAGCAAGTTCTAAGTACAAGATATAATTAACTACACTCACCGTGCTGTACATTACATCTCCAAAACTTAATGATTTTATAATTGGAAGTTCGAAACACTGAACCAACTTCACAATTTTTCTCACCACCTCCTTAAGTGTCTGGCAACCAATCTACTCTGTATTTCCATGTGGTTTTCTCCACATATAAGTGAAATTGTACAGTTTTGTCTTTGTCTGACTTATTTCACTGAGTAAAATGCCCTCAAGATTTCAAGGTTCATCCATATTGTTGCAAATGGCAGGGGTTCCCTATTTTCTAAGGTTTAGTAATTGTATTTACCCTTAACATTGAATTGTATATACAGACACACACACAAACTCTCTCTCTCTCTCTCTCTCTCTCACACACACACACACACACACACACACACACACGCACGCACATATCCATTCCAGTCTTGATGCAGAAGATATGCATACCCCATGAACTAAGCACCTTCAGCGTGGAATGGAGTAAGAGAGACACAGATGTGGTGGTGCAGTAACCCAGACAAGGGGCCATTAATGCTCCTTTGGGCTACCTGGGAAGACTCCTCAGATGAAATACTATTTTAGTCATGTCTTGATATATGAAAAAGCTGGGAGGCACACAGAGGGATGGAGGGGCAAATTAGTCACAGGAAAGCATTTGACCAAGGGTGAGAATATGTGAGCCTATGACAATGCCTGGAATTCAAGGGTGGCCCTTCAAAGCTGCCTAACTGATCTGGATGACCATTTTGGATGCTTTGTTAGCTCTCTGATATCTAGAGAGTCTGAACCTTTTCCTGTGATTTCTGGCTGCAATTAGTTCTCTTCAATAATTTGAAAAGCTACATTGAAAAACCATGAAGTTTGGGCCTCCCTGGTGACGCAAGGGGTTAAGCACAGCACTGTAAAGCTATCTGCAGCTGTTTTTTACCTCTTCAAAGGATGCTGCAATAAATATGCTTATACATATAAAACTTGTGCACTGGTGTTTTTATTCCTTTATAAGACTTCCAAAAATGGAATTGTTAAAGGACATTTTTAAAATTTGTAATAGATATTATCAGAAAACTTTCAAAATATAACAATCCTCTTATTGGCCTAAATAGACAATGCATTGGCAAAAATTAGCTTAGATCTGTAACTCAAAGCATAGGAGTGATACCTTACAATTTTACTGAGGCATAACTGATGTGTGATAAACTGCATCTATTTAAAGTGTACAATTTAAAGAGTTTTTACAGATGCATATTCCCACAAAAACATCACTACAATCAAGATAATGAGCATATCCACTACCTCCAAAAGTTTTCACTTGACATTCCTCCCTTTCACTATGCCCTCCAGTCACAGGCAACTGCTGATTTGCATTTGACGCTGCAGATTAACTTGGATTTTCTAGAATTATGAGATTAATTTTCACGTACTTGTTGGTTCCTTACCATTCAATCCTGTCTCAGGCACTGAGACAATACTTGGCAACATTACGTAGCATCAAGTACCTGAACTGCCTTGTGAAAATCAAAATGATTATCGATCCACTATAGCTCCAGATAAAGTGGAAAGGAAATCAGGGGGACATCTGGCTTTCTACAACGTCAATGCAATCTCCCCACCATTGTGGGTGGAGGATGTATCATTATAACTGAAGGTCAGACCAAGACTAGAAACCTAACTTGAGAGTAATGCAGTTTCCTTTCTTCTTTATATATAACACCTTTTAGAATATGTAGAACATGGATCATCTAATAGATGTATGTTAATTCATACCACTTATTTACTCATAAAACACTTAGCAGAGATTACTATGCACTATTTGAGGTGTTGGATTCTGGTCTCTGGGAGCTTGCAAACAAGTGGAAAAGATAAATAATAATCAAGTAATCATACATAATTATTTTTGAGTGATATATGTGGGCAGGAGGGAGCATGATTCTCTTAGTGCCTATAGCAAAGGTGACTCACCTGCACAGGGGACATGTCTGCCTAAGTTAGTGAGACTTAAGTGGAGATCTGGGGAAAAAATGAGATAAAATAGGAGAAATTCAGAAGAAAATGAAGAAGGGGTATTTATAGTTGAGTGACCTGCATTTGCAAGAGCCCTGTATTAGGTATCCTGTGGTCGAGCAATGAAAGGCGGCCAAGGTGACAGGAAAGCCAATGCGAATAGGAGAAAAGCAAGAGCTAGGCTTTATGAGAGCTCCTAGGCACGGCAGAATTTTACCCTTAACTAAGCAAACTATGTACAATCCTTCACCAAAGGATTGTAAGTATTACAGTGAGAATGATCAATGCTGCATTTTGAGAAGATGGTTTGGCTGCTGTGCAGGCCACACTGAGGGGAGCAGCGCAGGATGCCTGCCTGGAAGTACTTGCAGAGCTGAGAGAGACTTGGATAAGGAGGTTCAGTGAGGGGGGCCATGTGGAAGGATTCATGACAAGGGGACGTGGGTGGTGCACAGATGGATGTCCCCAGGAGCCTGATGGGACTGTGAGATGCGTGCCGGTGCCACTCATGGAGAGCAGGAATGCTGCACAGAGCAGCGGGAACTTTGCTGGGCTCTAGGGCAAGACAGTGCCCACCACCCCAACCCCCAGGGCACAGTTACTGGAAAGAGCACCAGATGATCTTTATTTACTTGTGTTTCCCAGTGAACATTTCAACAAAATAGAAGGTGCAGATATTTCTTATTAAATATCTTGAAGAAACACATAAGCAGAATGAAGGGCTTCTCTGGATTTGCTAACCACCTATGAGTGCCCCCTGCTGTCTTTAATCTGCTTCAACAGCCTGAGTTTTGCAACTGGCTCCTTTCTAAAAAAAAAAAAAAATGCAGCAAATAAATATTATTTATTTACCTGTGTGTTTGTATTATGTGATTCAAGCACAGAGATCAGAAATAAAATAATTTAGAGGCCTCTCTGGTGGTGCAGGGGTTAAAGACACAGTGTTATCAAGCTATTGCCAGCCATTGCAAACACTAGTTCGATCCCTGGCCAGCCAAGGGAGCTGACCCACATGGCGCAGCAGACCTTTCCTGTCTCGCCTACTGCTCCCCTCATCAGTGTGTTTCAGTGGATCTGCCTGTTATGCTCCCCAGTTTGTCTCTGGTGAATCCTCTTACTCCCCCTCCCCGTACCTCTAGGCTTATACCCCAGTTCTTGTATGCATAAAAAAATCTTTAAAAAAAGAAAGAAAATAATTTATACACTACCTCCTGAGCTCCAACACATAGTAAGAAGGGATTTATTGCTTTCACAAGCAGAATAACACTCGGCATTGTCTTGGGCCCCTAATCCCATCTTTGGAAATGGAATGTCCATAATCTCAATGATCTCAGGTCCAAACTGCTCTTTCCAGTGGAATTTTATCAGAAACTCTCAAAATTTCAATATTAAATAATTCTTAGCATCACATTTCCACTTCTGTATGAAGTTCATTGTAGCACTCTTTACAATAGCAAAAAACATTACTATAAATAATTTAAATATTTATATAGGTAAAATGATAGATTCTGATTCATGAGAATAAAATATGGTTCATTCATATAGGCAAGTTTTTAATGTCCAGGAAATGTCTAAATTGTTAAATATTTTCCACTACTTACTGTGATTGATGGAGGAAAAATTTGAAAATTACATATATTATTCTATATCACTGTAAATATAAATTACATATAATTTTGTGTAATATGTATTTTTACATTCTAATTATCTTCACAATATTTTTAAGTTTTTATTTTATTAGTCATAGAGTCATATGCAGTTGTAAGAAATCATACAGGAGATAAGGCATATTTTCCAGTTTCCCCTAATGGTTAGCATCTTGGAAAGCTATACTACAATATCAACACCAATATACTAACATTGATACAGACACGACAAAAATGCTTCCTCCATCTGACCACTCTCACACAGCACACTCACTTCCCTCATTCCCACCTTCCTCCTCAACACTTTGAAGTCACAAATCTCTCCATTTCTAAAATTTTGTCACCTTGAGAATGTTATATAAATGGACTTATACACTATTTAACCTTTGAGGACTGACTTTTTCACACAGTACCATTATCTGAAAACCCATGCAGCTTGTGTGTATCCATGATCCATGAGTTGTCCGTCCTATAGGACATGAGGACAGAGAGGATTGTTGAGTCATTGCTTCCTCGGAATACTGAGGATGAGTGCCCGGAGCGAGCAACCCCATCTAGAACAGAGCTGGGGAGAAGACCAGAGTCTCAGCAAGGAGGAGAGCCAAAAGGAACAAACAAAAAACCACTGGAAAGGGAAGGAAAGATTGAGAAGCAGGAAGTCAGGAATGGTGCCACTTCACTGCAAGGGCTATAAGCCTTTCCCCCAACAGCCACCCGGGTTCTCCTGCTGGCCTGGAGAAGACCATAATTCACAGTGACAGCAAAGCCTCTGGAGAGTTCAACAAGAGACACCCCAGTGACTGGGGACTGGGTTCCCCAGTGGAGTGAGCTACACCGCTATTCCTGGCATGGTCTCTGGGCTCTGGGGAGTGCCTACGGGTGCCCAAGAACTTGAACATACATCATTTCTATTAATCTCAGTACAATTATTGGCTCATATGGTCATTGTATGTTTAGATTTTTTAAAAACTGTCAAAATGTTGCTCCAGAGTAGTTGTACCATTTTACATTCATATCAGTATGAATGTTTCTACAGAATCCACTTGTTCTACATACTCATCAGCATTTGGTGTTGTCACTTTCATAGTAAGTTTTATCATGAATTTCTACCATGCTCAGCATCAATTTCTGTCTATGTTCCCCAAAATAGCTCATCCTCAGATACATTCTTAACTCACTCTCTTTGATACACCCCCAGGAAAAACCTCCAGCCCCGAAAGAATGTCATATTATATCAATTACTCAGAGCTTGATGACACAAACTCTGTCCCACAGGTTTCTCCACTTAGCATGTTGAGTGAAAACATACTGTGTCATCCTTTTCAACTATGCAAAATACACCAAGCTCGGAGAGCAGTGAATAGTTTCATAAAGTAGATGGGTGAGAACAAAAAGTCAACTCACCAAGATAAAATTAACAGAATGAATATGAATACTACACTATCTTCAGGCTCTAAACTCTGTGCTGAGGATGAAGACCTAAATATGTTCAGGTCCCTATCCATCTGACATTGTTAGGGGGAAAGGATGTCCTGAGCAAACTCCATACAGGCTTTGTGGACTCCACCCCCACTCCAGACCAAAGTCATCAGGACATTGGGAAAGACAAATCCCATCACCACCAAAGGGAAGGTTGCTGGAACCTGAGGGTGGAGTTAAGCAGCCAGGTTTGGTATAAAAACCGGACACTTAGGCCTTGGGGGGGCGCCCTTTTGGCTCTCTGCCAGCTCGCGGCTCTCGGCCAGCTCTGAGTGCCATTGGGTTTCCAGGTCGGCGGATCGGGTAGGATGCATTTAAGACTTTATTTCCCTATTTTCTCCCTGAATTGTACATTCCTTCATTTCCCCTTCCCTTGTAAATAAACCTTTTATTAACCTTTTGTGTGTGCCTGCAGTGGAGTATTAAGTCCCTTTAAGCGCACAGGTGGGGACCCACAGCCAGGCAACCCGTTTTATATAGGGGCTGCCCTGTAACAATATCACAGTCTAGAGGGGAGACCTTAAAATAAGCATGGGGCCTCCCTGGTGGCACGGGGTAAAGTCTCAGTGCTATCAAGCTATCGCCAGCCACTGCAGCCTGAGTTCAATCCCAGCCAGGGAGCTGACCATCATGGCACAGCAGACCTCTCCTGTCTCTCCTGCCGCTCCCCTCAGCAGTGTATTTCAGTAGATTTGCCTATTTGCTCCCTACCCTGACTCTGGTGACCCTCTCACCCCCTGTATCTCTGGCCTACACCCCACTTCTTGTATGCATCAATAAATAAAAATAAATCTTACAAAATAAATAAATAAGTATGTCTAAATCTGTTATGAATATGCTTGTTGGTTTAAAATAATGTCAGTTTTCAATCAACATTGAAAAACTAGTGAAGAGTTTGAAGCTGAATAATGATTCTCGTGTTTTAAGAAACACCCTTTCTGTTTTGTGGCTGATGGATTGGAAGGGATCAGCTTTGGGCATACTGAGGCCATTTGTGAGACTTACACAGTAGGCTGGTGATAAATGTAAAGGGTTTGAAAAGAGCAGTAGCAGCAGTCATAATAAAAAAAGTTTAAGATGGATATGAAAAGGTTTATAATAAAAAGACAGGGCATGTTTCCCAATTAGAAGTAAGGCTGAGAAGGAGGAGAACATAGGATTATCTCAAGTTTCTGACTTAGGCAACCAGGACAATTTTTGTGTTATATGTACTGAGGTAGGCAATTAGAACACAAGACCATGTTCTGAAATAAAAATGATGAATCCAGGTAGAGGTCTGATAAGTTGAGCGTTAAAAAATGGCACCTACTGAAGATGTCCTATAGATAAGTAAATTGTTTATTCTCAAAGAGATATAGACTACCCCTACAGATTTCAGAGTTCCTAACATAAGGGTTACACTGGCAGCAGTGGGAGCACATGAGATCCCTAAAAGCAGGATATCTACAAAGAGAAAAGGAATCAACTTCAGAATCTTTGAAGGCATCAACAGTCAGGAGAAATCAGGATAATAAGGCAAGTTATGGAAACAATCTGTTTTCTAGGACAGAGGAGTGGACTGGAAAAAAAAAATATATATATATAATGAAATAGTACTCAGCTATAAAAAAAAGATGAACTCTTGCTATTTGTGACAACATGGATGGAACTGGAGGGGTTAATGTTAAGCAAAATAAATCAGAAGGAAAAAGACAAATTCCGCATGGTTTTATTTATATATGGAATGAATAGAAACAAAACAAAGGGTCAGACAAAATCAAAACAACAACGAACCCTAGAAATATGACTGTGGAATTGAGGCCACATGAGTGGGTAGAGAGTAAGGTGGGTGGGGCACAATGGATGCTGGTGGAGGACTATGGGTACCTTGGTGGTGTGGTGACATGTACCTGAGGAGGTGTGATCCTAAGTCTCTGAATCACATACAGTGTTGTAAACCAATGCTGTCTCAATTAAAAAAAAATAAATTTTAAAAAATAAATCAAAATTATAAAACACACCAAAAACTGGGAGCTAAAAGAGTAGAAGTCAAGATAATCGTCACAGAAGAAATAGCATGTGACACTGTATTAATTGGGAACCAACCAAGAACCAGAATCTATTTTAATTCTTAGAACAGAGGGAATGTACCGCACAGAATTGATTCAACAGATGCTAGAGGGCCTAGAGTCACACAGGCAGTGGTGAGACAACTTGAAACTCATAACAGCATGAGGCTGCTACCATGTGAGAAAAACAAGAGAGACCGTGTAGCCAGACCCCGAGTCACCTGCCAAAGCTGAACCAGTGCAGACCTATGGCAGGGTATGGCAGCTCAGACATGGCGCAGGGACTTCCAGAGACTTCTCCTAAACAGCAAGGAAGAGGAGGCCACACTCTGGCTTCCCCCTTTCTCCACTTCCTATTTGGGGCCTAGGTCTTCTGAGAGCAGATGTCAGCTAGGTGAGAACCTGAGAAAAACCACCTGCAGGAGGCAGCATTGTGCCCCTTGCATTCCCCTAAAGAGCAGCAGAGCGGGGATGTAGGAAACGGGGTCTGAGGGCAAAGGGTCCCAAGACTAGGACAAGCCCAAGTCTGAAGGCAGGCTGTGGCAAATTTTCTAAGTGGGAAGAAACCTGATTTTTCGTGAAGACAAAGGTGTAAGCAGCAAAGATATCTCGTCATTCGCTCAGTGTGACTGGAGCTAGAACACATGTGGAGAAAAGACCATTGATGAGAATAGACATGTAAGCCCTCAGGTCACATCTTGAGGGCCTTGTGTGGCCAACTGAGGAGCCTGGATCCTATTTCATACGTGATCATACTAAATCAGAATGTCTTTGAAAGTTAATTCTGGCATCACTGTAGATGGTAGCATCGGGGAGAGAAAAAGATAGTTCAGAGCCCATTTGCAAAGAATGATGGAATAAAGGCCTAACTTGGTGGAGGGGTTTGTGAAGGCTCCTGAGTGGCCCCAGGATGACCACAGACTTAACGGAAACACATTCTGGTGACACAGTCTCTAGGCCAACATGGTTTGTAAGACCTCTTAGTCTTATCAGATAAAACTGAATTTTTTTTTTACTCAAAATTTTCTTTAGAAGTAGGGGAATAGAAAATGGAGGGAACACTGTCAGAAAAAAGAGGAGTCAAGAAAATGGGGATATTTAACTTGGAGAAAAGGAAAGGAGAGGGAAGACTGGCAGATTCTAAGCAATTGGCTCTCTAAAGTTTCTGACCCAAGGCCAGAAAAGATTCTAGTTAATAAGTCCTTCGGAACAGGACCCCCCACACACACAGAGAGAGAAATAGCAAATATGACAAACTGGAATCTATTCATTGCTTTATTCGTTGTTTTCAGGAGTTACATGCTTTAGGGTGGTTTGCTTATAACTGGATGGAATGAGTTACAGCCAGGGGGAAGGGAAGCGCTCCCCTCCTCCATCTCCACTCTCACTTCATCTTGCTGTCACACCAAATGTGAGAGGGCCTCCTGAAAGGCAGAAGGACAGATATAAAAATAAGAGATGTTTACACATATGTGATTAGCACGTTTCTAAAAACATCATTCTCACCATCCTACTTAGCCACTATTTTACTCTGAAGAAGCAAAGGCTCGGAGTAACTAAGTCCCATCCTGAATGGCAACTGGTAAAGTCACAACTGGAATACAGGTGTCTTTCATTCAAACATTCCCATTGAAGTGGAATTACTGCACTTTCCGTGAGATTCAGAACATGTGACTTTATGAGGCACAGTCAGTAACGGGGAAATACATCTTCACAAGTGAGGATGGGACGGGGCGGGACAGAGTGGGAAAGTGGGTGTTCAGGGAGACAAAGCTCTGCCCTTCAACAAATTCGCCCCATAAGCTGTAGTTACCAGCAGTTTCTTCACAGATTCAGAGGCCTCTGGTCCAAGCTCATTCACACACTTCCTCAGCCCTTCCACAAGGTGCTCAACAGAAATGCCCAGAGTTTTCAGAAGCTGTTTTAATGGATCCAGGAAAGGGAGCACGCTGTCCAGAGGTAAAGGTAAATTGTTGGCGGGAAGTGGTAACTTGGGGAAAAGGAACGCAGTAGCTGCAGAGCAAAAAAGAAAGCAAGTGAAACGGGCACATCTTGTTCCTGTGTGACCTCAACACCTTCCACTCAGCCCATTAATGGCAGTTTTCCAGTCCCACTCATCTTGATTTCTCATGAAAACTGCTGCCTCAGGTCCTTTGCACCTACTGGCATTACCCCCTGCCATCCCCCTATATCTCTTTTACTCACAGTATTTTATCCCTTCTCAAATGTAATTCTCAGAGAAAGACTGCCAGTTACCCTCTATATTTTTTTTTACAATTACCTAAAACATTAAAACTTTTTTTGCTTTCATCTGCTTTCTAGAATTCAGGCTTCATCAGAACAGGGAATCTGAATTTATTATTTTACCCCATGCCTAACACAGATTGGCAAGTAGCAAGGACTCAACAGATAGCAGTAGTTGATTTGTAGGGATGCACTCTGAGCACAGCTATATCCACAGCCCACGACTGGGAAGCCAAAGGGGAGATGCCACAATGAAGCGGCACTTGAGGATATGGATGGACCCAACCACAGCCCTGGACCCTGCTTCCAACCACAGTCCTGGACCCTGCTTCCAACCAATTCACCTCCAGGCTACAAACATAACTAAGCACTGACTACACCAGCTGGTGCAGCTATGGAGATGAATCAGACAAGGATACAATCAGAAAATTCAGCTTGTAGCAGACAATGAAGACCTGTGCATGCCACAGTACAACATGTTGTGCTACATCATGGACACAGCTGGGAAGGAACACAAAAGGATGACTAATCCAAGTGTGGAAAATGTGGCAGGCATCTTCCCAGAAAAGGTACTGCTGAAGCTGTGCCTGAGGCAACCATCAGGATCACAGGTAAAGAAGAGGAGAAGCATTGTAAAAAGGGAAAAAAAATTAACATAGACACTGAGATATTAACATGAAAGTACACACACAGGGGGACAACCCTTCTGTCCAGTGTCTGGAGGACAGAATTCCAGTGGCACATGCTAAGGAGTTCAGGCTGCAAAACTCAAGTGAGGTCAGACTTTTCAAAGTCTTGAATGCCATACTAAAGAGTTTGTTGTTTGTTTATTTTTCCCCTGAGGGCAGTGGGACACTAACCATGCTTTCATACTGGACAACTGCATTTTAATTTGGCTTTAGAAAGATCACGTAGGCAGCTCTCCTGCAGCCTGTGCCTGTGTAGATGTCGCTCTTCACCAACCTTCTCCCTTTCTAAAGCGGCAGAAGCAGCTCTCCTCCCAAGACTGCCCACCTGTGACCATGCAGGCCTCTCGTCTAACAAATCTGCCCCTTCGGGGAACACCTCCTTCCACCTGTTTGTGTGTGTGCAAGCATCCTTTACTTCCCTTCTCTTTTTATAATAAACATGCCCTTGTGAATACAAAAGAAAGATCACATAGATGAATCAAAAGGAAAGAATAGAGAATGAGAGAAAAACATATTATACATATTTTTACCAAAAACACTGGCACATTGTCAGGAAGGGGAAGTTTTTACCATATTTCTCTTGGTTCTTTTGGCAGGTCTAATAATTAAATTGATAAAAGACAGATTAATGGAATATAATACAGTTAATTTTGTCTGTGCAGGTCCCAATAAAGCAGTCAATACATATTTTAAACAAAGAAACAAAAAATTTGTGAAGAACTAACAAAACAAAAAAACTTTAGTCTTGAGTCTTAGTAGCAAGCAGCTAAGCACAGTGTTTACAATGCTTTCTCAGGCCTGACACCCCATCTCTGGAGCTGGATGTCCCTGCCCCGCCATGCTCAGGGAGGATACCTGTCACATGGAAAATTTAGTTTTCAGGATGGAGAGAAGCTTCAGAGGGTTTCACCTTACTGGCCAATTAGTTGAAATGCTCGATGTGCCACTTAGGCGTATTTGGGTAGAGGGCCAAACATCACAATACACAATATGCAAGAGAGCACACATGAAAGCACGCATCCTCCTGCCAGCAAAGACCTTGCCATATATAGTTCATTTTCCTTCGGAACTCCTTTTATTTCCCTTTCAAATCTTTCAAATGAGGCCTATACTTCTACCTTCTCTTTATCTTCTACCACATATATCCCCTCCAGAATCCTACCCCAGCAGGGGGATATTTATTTCCTTCCAACAAGTTTCTGCTGCCGACACTGACCACAGATACTTACCCCTGGACACTCAAGAATGACAAAACAGCTAAAAATGGTGAAGTCACAAATTTGTCCAAAAGTTCAAAAAAGTCACAAGTCAAACTGCCAATGTAGGTAGGTGTGGGCAACACCCAGCTTCTCCCAATTTTTAATTTAAGCACTTTGGTGAATGTCTTCCCTGCAAGTACTTACACATTCCTGGGAGGAAGACCCTCAAAGCTTTCCGTTGTTTGAAAAAGCAGTGACCACGATGATGTACTTTGTTAGATGTGCCCATATACATCTTGCTGATAGTTGCAATGACTCCCTCTCAAAAGAGTGGATCTGTCCCCATTTTTCTCTAAGAAGCCAGTTCTACATCCCACCTGGAAACTGAAATGTGCCCCTCAGTACGCCTAAGCTGTGTGCCTCCACTGAGGGGCCAGAAGCACCTTGAGAGCAACAGGAAGGTCTGATTGAAGTCTGAAAGTCAGAGGGAGGGAGGGAGGAGCCCAGGGGACTGTGGTGATGGTGCACAGGTGCGTTGGGGAAGGAAATTCCATGGGTACTGCAGCTGCAAGTGAGGGGGAGCAAACATTGTTTAAAAAAATGAACAATGATGTAAAATATATACAAATAAAAAAAAGTCTGAATGCCCCGATGCTTACCCAGTGTCCAACACACCACAGCCACATAGTAAATATCCACTGGCTTGGTGAACAGATAAATGTTGCTCTATCTCAGGAGAACCAATTTGGCAACCGGACTTATTAGAAATGATAACAAGAATAACTCCATCGAGTTTCAAGAGCATGAAAGAAAGAAGTTACAAAGTAAGATTTAGACTCAAAATTAAGGAAGACAGGAAACTATGGCGGCCAATATCTGGCAGGGAAATGTGCTTTGCTGCCCCTCCGTGGAAGGTGGTTAGCTTCTTGTTCGGCAGCACTGGCAGTAGTCTTTGCATTGGGTTGTGCTTGAAGGTCGGCAACAGGGAAGGGATCTGAAATCCCTTTCAACCTTATCATTCTGTGATGCTAAAACTTCCTACACCCTCGGCTTCCACTGGGAGCCGAGGCTTACTAGTTGTGTGTCTATTAACAGAAAAGTAGAGAAATATCATTCGTTCCAGGCTACTTACCAGAGTAACTGCAAATGCTGAGGGCCACCAGCAGGAAGACAGTTACCAGCTTCATGATAGGCTGCCTGTGATATTTACCTGGAGTTTAAAATTGAACTGGAAAGCCCAGGGAAGCCACAGAGCCAGCGGTTCCCTTGCTGTGCCCAGCGTGACAGCTGCTTTTGCACGAGCATGTATTTATACTCCAGCTGGGGAAGACCTGAGTTTTAGTCACCACCACTTGATGAGGCCCAGTGAAGAAGAATAGGAAGGTCATGTTTCCTCACTAAACAATCTGGAGGTTTTTCCGCTTTCCCTCATGTTCCCATGAGAAAAAAATTCTAACTTAAAGCATTCTCAAGGGCCTCTCACAAGCCCTTCCTGCACACAGCTGCCCGTGGAAGACAAAGAGCTCTAAGGGTCCTTCTCCTGGAATAACAATGAAAAGAAGGGAAGGTTTTCTATTGGGATTAAAGGAATGTGTGCTCTGTTGCTTTTCTCCAGCTTTCTATTCAAATTTCCAAGAAGCACATAACCTGAGAGAAATCCAACTGCAGAAGCGATCCTGGGGTACCAGTCACCCAGGCACAACAGACTCATCTTAATGTGCTTCTCTGCCCACCCTCTCCCCACACATCCCCACATCCCCCGTAGCAAGACCTCTTACCTTTCCTAGTCTCGCAGCTACCCTGAAATCTTCTGGGTGTGCCTTCCCTGTTCTTATAAAGAGTAAGATTTTAAATCAAAATGCTATCTCAAAGACCTAGAATTCGGGCCTCCCCCGGTGGCGCAGCAGTTGAGCGCTGGGCTGCAAAGCTGCACGCAGCCTCAGCAGTGCCGGTTCGATCTCTGGTCACCAGGCGAGGGTCCCACATGGTGTGCAGACCTCTCCTGCCGCCCGCTGCTCCCCTCAGCAGTGTATTTCGTCAGTCTACCTGCTCTGCTCCCCGCTCTGGCTCTGGTGAATTCTCTCACCCTCCCGCGCTTCTGACTGTACCCAGTGCTTGTATAAATAAATAAATAAATCTTAAAAAAAAAAAAAAAAGACCTAGAATTCAACATTTGCTAATTACGCAATCTTCAGTTGGCCTTTTGTTTTTTTACAGTACTGGTATTAGTATCGAGAATGATGACGTTAATAGGATGTTTCCTAAGATGCGTGACCCTGAAGGGAAATTTATTTTCAAGTCTCAGTCTGCATAAACAATTTGACTCAGCAGAATACAGACTGCAGAACCATTCTGCCAGCCCTGCCCCATGCAGTCATGCGAAAGAGACACGGTGCCAGTCTTGGCATAGTGTGCCAGGAGGCCGCCGTTCTATAGCCAGGACGCAGTCAGGGCCCTGACACCCTCTGATTTGTAAGCACAATTCCTGGAGCCCCTCAGGGTATCTGGTGCCCCGTGTGCCAGCAAAAGGGAAGACAAATTTGAAGGGGAGAAACAGGGCCCAGGGCTCAGATGGGTGCCAGACCAGGTGTGGGATTCCAGCCAAATGGCGCTGCTGGCTCCTGCCACCCCATCACTAAAGAGGGACCAGAACCTCTTGAGGAAGATACACCAGGGAATGGGCCCCTTAAGACACAAGGTCAGTTGGTGGGGAACCACTGGAGTGTGTGCTATTGTTATGTGGACTTGATAAAATTATGTAGACAGAGTATGTCGCTACAGCAACCCAAGATTAATACTTAATGTGTCACCTGTAACTCACTGTAATAAATGACTGTGTTGTGACTGCATGTCTTTATTTTTTCGCTACTTTATAAATTGCATGAAAGAGATCATCCATGACTGCCACGCATACTTGAGCATGCCACTTCTGCTTCCATCAGCATGGAGTCAGGGATGTTGATGGGCCAAACCCACAAAGGACCCAGACTGTGGTAAAGAGGAACTGAGCTGATTCCACCCTGTATTTTTATGACATGATCTCTTTCTGGCTACTGAACCAGCAGGGCCCTCATCTGTGCTTGTCATTTGTCATTTTGCTCTTAAATCCTTTCTCTGCATTCCTTCTTCTGCGCTCTGTAGTACAGGAAGTTAGGTTTTCCAAACTGTGGCTTCCAGGCTTCCTTACTAACTGTTTACAGTAAAGGTTGACCAGTGAAAGGCACTGGCAGAAGACTGGACAGGAGAGAAAGGGAGAAGCCGGGGTATTTTTCCTGCTCTCTACATCAGGAGACGTCTTGGGCAGTGACTCTTTTTCGAGGCTCCAGCTCCTTCCAGAAAGATCCTTCATCTGCGGTCCCCCCAAGGCGGGCAGACCCACCGCTGTTCCAGCTTCTAGTGGATGGCCCCATCTTTGGCCCGAGCTATTCACTCAGCCCTCCTGGCCAAGAAACAGGAACAGTTTCCTGAATTTCTTCATCTCAGCGTCGACTCCTATCTCCCCTGGTTCCTTTTACAAGGTGCATTCCTAGCACCCTGCAAATGATCCTCTAAGTTAAATTTTTCATATTTCATCAACTGGTGTGGTTTTGATTTTCTGGCCCAACTAATATAGCATCTTAAAATATTGTCGAGCTCTCAGTAAAAACAGATCTTTCCATTTTGAAATGCAGGTCTGTCTCCAACAAGTGCCAAATTCTAAGCTCACAAGGAAGAGAGCCAAGACTCACCCAAAAGAAATACAACCTTACATACAAGATGCTGCTTCCTTCCACCATCTGAAGATATCAAGTGGGCCTGCTAGTCCAGAGGGTGAGTTCTTTCCTGGGAAGCTCCTCAAACCCTGTGTCAACAGACAGCTGATGAGCCTACCTAGTCATCTGGCAGACGTGCAGTCCTGGCCAAAACCCAGTAGCAGAAACAGATGATTTACACTAAAGGCTGCAACCTGCTCCTCACAAATCAAACATTCACATATCTACACATATATGACAATAACATGTACCCGCACACACAAAATCACACACAGAATGATCAAGTCTACCGTTCTCACTCATTTGTTCAACTAATGTTTATTAAACATCTAGTATATGCCAGGCATGGTATCAAACAGATCAAACATCATCATGGTCTAGAGCAGTAAACAAGACTGGCCAATTTCTTGCCTTCATGGAGCTCCCCTAGTAGAATAAGCATACAACACATAACAAAGAACATAACTAGTGGTCAGTGCTAAGACGACGCAAATAGGGAGCAGGGATAAGAGAGAAGAGGCTTGGAGATACAATCACACTTAAAAGGAGACTTGGACTTGGATATTTCCTTGCATCCTGCATCCTAAGCTATTTATTGACTATATTTTTTTAATTCCATATTTTTGATACTTTGACATCTTGGGGTCTTGCTAATTCTGTAGGGAGCACCCCTCCCTGTGGCTAATCCCTAGAGACAGCTAACAAGTAACCTGGGATTGGACCTCTCATATGCAAACCATCCACTCCAGAGCCCACACTACCAACCCCTTCCTCGATGGACTCTCAACAGTCTGGGCCACTATGGCCCTGCACTGGTCACCCCAGGTACCAGACTAGAGACAACCCCTACCCCCCAGAATTCACTGAAATTACTCAAACTTGCCTGTCTTAAACCAGCTTACCCTGTCTCACCCATCACATTCCAAGAAACCACAATAAAGGCTCCAGCCCATCCACCCTCTGCCCCGACCCTTTTGCATAGCCTGTCTTTTTCTCTTGGGATATGTGAGTCTAACAAACTGCCTTCTCAATGACAGTCACCTCTTGATCTGCTGGCCTTAGTAATAATAAAAATTATATTTAAAAGCAGTCATCTAGCCTTTTTTTGTGCTTTTGTTATGCTAGTGATATTGTTTCTCTTTGCAGCATAACTAATTACTATCTTCTTTCTCAGCACTAATTTGTAAACATCTTGGGGGGCATGTCTTATACATGTTTGGGTCCTATCACAGAGCCCCACATACTTGATAATATTATTAAAAACACTAATTGGGGGCAGACACTACATTCTGCATATAGGGTCCATTTCATTTTCACAGAATCCCTGATGATAAAAGTTTTTAACTCATTTTATAAATGTGAAGTCTGGAGCTGGAAGCAATGAATGAACAGCCAACGTCACTTAGATAAAAAATAATAAAGCCAGAATTTGAGTCCTTTCTTCCCTGATTTCTATTTCTTTATCTTTAAAATAATTAATAGGGCCTCGAAACACTACATGATATGCACATCAAAGACATCTTTACAGACACATCACCCAAAGCAGTGATAGTGAAGGCAAAGATAAACAGCTGGGACTACATCAAATTAAAGAGCTTCTGCACAGCAAAAGAGACAATAACAAAAACAAAGAGAAACCCCACCAACTGGGAGATCATTTTTGCACCCAACACTAATGATAAAGGACTGATCACAAAAATCTGCAAAGAGCTGATGAGACTCAACAAAAACAAAGAAAATAATCCAGTCAAAAAATGGGCAGAAGAGCTAAAAAGAAACTTCTCTGAAGAGGAAATGCAAATGGCCAACAGGCATATGAAAAAATGTTCAACATCACTTGTAATCAGGGAAATGCAAATCAAAACTACCATGAGATACCATCTTACACCAGTGAGAATGGCACATATTAAAAAAACTAGCAACAACAGATGTTGGCGAGGTTGTGGAGAAAAAGGAACTCTCCTGCACTGTTGGCGGGAGTGCAAACTGATCCAACCACTATGGATTGCTGTGTGGAGATTTCTGGACCTACTAAACATAGAGCTTCCATAGGATCCAGCAATTCCACTCCTAGGTATTTACCCAAAGGACACAGAAACATCAATTCCAAAGAACACCTGCACCCCTATGTTTATAGCAGCACTGTTTACAATAGCTAAGCTTTGGAAACAACCCAAATGCCCAAAAATAGATGACTGGATCAAGAAGATGTGGTACATATACACCATGGAATATTACTCAGCGTTCAAAAAAGATAAACACATGCAATTTGCAGCAACATGGATGGCGCTGGAAGGGATCATGCTCAGCGAAATAAGCCAGAAAGAAAAAGAAAAATACCGGATGGTCTCACTCATAGCAGGAATCTAGAAAACTTAAATAAGGGACCAGGAAAATGAATATAAGAAAGTGAAAATCAAAATCAACAAAAAACTATGAACCAGAGACACTTTTGGGGGTGGGGGGCGGGAGGGGAAGGATTGGGGTCAGAATGGGGCGTTTGCAATTGTATGGGGGAATATAAAAATAA